TCTGTTCTCTCCTGCGCGCGACTACTGCTATACGTCACGTCTGTCTGTCGGCATATAATATATTTGACAAGCGTGGTTAAAAACTGTTTAAATCACGCTTTTTGGCGGCCGTCGAGATCCTTTCTCGACATAACCGAGGTTACGAAGTTCTCGACTTGCTCTTTTTAATACTACTTATTTGCTTTTACTTCTTGCGAGAGTTCTTCTTCGCCTCCTCTAGGGCCGTCCTAACGACTCCGCATCCTCCGCTGCCTGCAATATGGGTGGTTGGCACCTTATTGCCAAACTTTTCCTTGCATAAAAAGCAACTTGGGCTCTTCCTACAGTTGGAGAACCTGTGACCGGCTTCACCGCACTTAAAGCACGCAGCCGATCTGTCCACCTTCTGACATTTCGCTCCAATATGACCGTATCCCAAGCATCGATGACACCGGACGACCATTACTCTTTTTTTAATTGGGAAACACATAAAACCAATTTTTACGTGTCCCAATTTCTCCAGCCTGTTCGCCTCTTCCGGGTTGGTGACTACAACCGCGAGTTTCATCCCTCGGCTCTTGGGTCCTAAAACCGTCAATTTCCTGCATCCTAGCTTTCCTATCGCTTCCGACAACACTTGTTGCACCTCGGCTGCTTGGGTAAGGCAATCCAAATCACGGATCTCGAGTGTAACTCTTCGATCCAACGACTGCACCTTACCCATGCTTCCAACTGCTTTGGTGACCTCAGCGGTGAAAACGCCCTTGTCGGAGCCTCCTCTGATCTTAATTAGAAGGTCTCCCTTCTTTGTAGCTTTTGCTGCTACTATTCTCGTATGGCAGTCGTCCTGGTTGACCTCTTTGCGAAGTTTACCCAGAACGTCAGCATACGTTAATCCTTGAGCGACTCGGATTAGAACTGCGGATCTTTTGGACCCCGTTCTTTCCATTTGAGGAATCTTTGGATCTGGTACTATCGTTTCCATTGGAGGAGCTTCCTCCTTTTTCCTCTTATCGGTTTAGGTTCGAGTCTCCCCTGGACTGTCACCCTCTCGCTTCCGTCTTTGAGCATCTCTTAGGACGCTTTTGAGATTACGCTTATAGGAACGCTCTCTCTTTTACTTACGGTCCTTGCGGTTACACTCCGCACCGCTAAGAACGCATGCTAAATCGAAGTCCGACTCATCGGCTGCGACATGCTTTACTTTTGCCTCTTTCAACAGGACTTCGATGGCTCTGAGTCCATCTTTTACCGTCCTGTTGACGTTCTTCTGAATGTCGCAAGATTTTATCATCTTTGCGACCTCCAACTCCATTTTGTCGAGGCAAGTCGCCTCCTCCTTTCTGAGCCGCGAGCATATCTCGCGAGTCTCTTCTATCGCCTCGTCGTCTACTTCTGAGTGGATAGCGCTATGTACGATCTTTCCCCAACTGCAGCTTGACACACTCAGAAGGCTCGACGCGCTTCCCTTTCTTATTCTTTCTTTTTCCACGATGTTCTGTGGATCAAATCTTTCCACGATCACTTGTGGCACTGCAAGAAATTGTGCGCCCCCACAATCCGCGCGCACTTGAGCATCAGTCTTAGGACCGATGGTGAGATTTCTCGTTTCCGGCCTGCTCACATGGGGTACTTTCTTTGAATTTTGTGAATCCATTCATTCTTGCTGTTTGGTTGCCCTTTAGTGAAAAGCCCCGCCACCACGGCAAGGTCTACCGAACATATCCATGATGCCAGTCGTGTCTGGCAGCGGGACCACTTCTCCCAGCACATCAAATAAATCAATGATGTTCAAAAGACGAAGATACTTATTCCCAAAATCAGTCCTCTTTAGATCAAGATGAAGACAATGAAGATTAAATAATTTGAACAATTTTACTTATTAAGAAAGAATTAACAATTTATTCATTTTAAATATTCTCAATTTATAATAATTATAATTTACAAATGATATTAATCATTTCTATTTACACTAAATAATTTCAATTCATAAACTTCAAATTATTTGTTCATTACAGTATATTATTAATAAGTAACATCAAATACGCAATTAAAGTAGTTTACAAATAAGTTGAAATATTAGTTTTTCATTTACTATTATTTAATTTAATATATTTCATTATTGTTAATAATATTGTTACGCCATGACTGAACTTTAAAATAAAAAATATATCTAAATACTCATGTGTATCAATAAAATTCGAGAAAAAAACTCTATATTCAATAATAGTAATACATTTTTTTAATTATTATTCAATATTTCAGTATAAAAAATATTTAGTTATAAATCATAGATACGGAGGAGGGTATAATATTAAATTTTATTACTTTGTTTAAAGGAAAAATTCAGGAACATCAAGAAATATTCGTGGCATACTCCTGGATTATATTGCTGGTATAATCCACAAGAATATTGCGTTAAATTTCACTGGTATATACCTGGAATGTTCTAGAGGAATATACTCAGTATATTCCAGAGGAATATTTCCGGTATATTCCACAGAAATATTTATACAATATTTTATGAAAGTATTAAATATGACAATGGAATATATCTGGTATATTCCATTGGAATGTTACAAACGTGGGACATTAAAATGTTCCTGGAATAGAGTAGGAACATTCTGTTAAAATATTTCCAATGTTCCAATGGAATATTCCAGGAATAGGAATGGAACATTCAGTGCTATTGGGGAGTGTGCTTTTATAGATTTTATGCAATATAAATCAAATAATATATCTTTGGGATTAAGACTTGTCAGTTAATTACATTAAAGTTACTTTAAAAATTATTTCTGGTCATTTGTTACTGAGATTTACAAAATTGTTCATTTTATGTGTCAATAAATGTTCTACAATTATCTTTCGTGACTTATTTCATTAAGTATACTATGTTTGGTGAAGTGTGTTTTTCTATTGAAAAAAACTTTAAGAGCTTGTGTATATAAGTTATTATTAAATTTTATAAAAGTATTTTGCAAATGTAAGACAAAATGCGACAAATGTAAATTTTAATATCGCAGAAGTACTAAACTTTAAAAAAAATTAAATGTTATTTTGTACTTCTGATATCAAAATTTACCTTGGTCACATTTTGTCCTACACTTGTAAAATATAATGGTTAATTTAAGCCCATATTCTGGCTAGGTGATAAATTTTATATTAAGAAATGTATAGATTTAAGCTGATATTCGGACTTGTGGCTGACTTTAATTTCATAAAGCAGCTCATTGTTACCCCTGTGGTATGCTTGAAGTGAAACTTTAACTTCAAACTAGTTTAAAGCTATATTGGTCTAGTTTGTGCTGTATATTGAAACTAGTCTCTTTTCGGTTTTAAAATAAAACTTATTTTTTCCTGTGTGCTTATAGGAACAAGGCGCATAAACATGAACGCATTAAGGGTGCGTTTTTACACTCACTAAAATGCGACGCACGCTGTGCGAGATTCATGCTGCTTACGAGCACGTTATGAGCGGCATTCATTCTATGCACGGAAAAAATAAATTTTGTGAATATTGCAGAATTAGTTCAATAGTCTTGGATATATCGTTTTACGTAATAGAGTTTCCTACTTTTTACCAAATTTTTTGCATATAATGCGTAACTGTTCAAAAAGATTTACAAAATATTTTGTATATTTTAAAAAATACGTTTGTAGAAAATATTTCAGTAATTTTCACAGAACTATTAAGAAAAAAGTTTAGAATTCTTCTGTATAAATTACAAAACAGTATTAGTATCTTCGCAGAATCTAAATTACTAAAATATTTTATTACAATTTCTAATATAAGTTTCACAGTTATTCAAACAGGTACTATGCACGATTTGCAAAAAGAGTTTTGTCAAATGATCGGTTGCGCTGTAGGTTGTGCGCATATGATTTTCGACCCAGGTGCACGCGGCATGCAAAGCACTTGTACAAATTGAGTGACAGAAAGTGAAACTGTGATAGCAAAGTCAATGGAATAAAATAAAACAATGTAAGTATATTAAATTATATATATTTTATTATACTATTACATATTGTATTATTCATTTAAAATTTTAATTATTTTACATATTATAAAAACGATTTTCACTAAAGAAAAAAACAGTATCAAATATTTTATAGTTTATATATTGTGATATATTTATTGTATTAATATATTACTTTTTAATATTAGATTTAAGAACCTAAAATATTTTACAGGAGTATAATGGAGATTATTGATTCTGAGGTAAAAATATTTAAAACTTTTTTTTGTACAATATGATAATTAAAATGTGGTCTTTTTGTATATTCATACTTTTATGTTATAAATTGTTTCAGAATACGAGGATATTTTCGTCAAGTACAACGCCAGTTTTGAATGTCATCAAAGCAGTTGACGAACATGCTGAATGGACTAGAGTAAACAGTGTAAACTTGTTGAATTTATCGCAGTCTACAATAACAAATCATTTCGATTTAAATTTTAGCAATCTAGAGGTAATTTCAAAGTTTTATATTACATTAAGTTTTGAAATTATTTACTTATATTTTCTATAATTTAAACAAAATTTATTTTAAATTTAATTTTAATAGCTATAATAAGCCTATTTTATTTTAATATTTTATTTATTTTTTTAATTTAAAGGAAATGTTTTCAATGAAATAATTTTTTTCTTATATTTTCTGTAATATAAACCAAATTTATTTTAAATTTAATAGCTATAGTAAGCCTATTTTATTAATCTTATATGTGAAGCATATAAAAATAACAATGGATTTCTGACAGACAAATGCCGTAAAACTTTAGTTCACAAATTTGTGGAGAAAAAAAGAATAGAACTTCTACAAAATTACAAAGGAGAACCATTTAATGATTGGATGTAAGTAAATTTAATTTTCCTTGCAATATTCATTGGTTATTTTTAGTATCTATTAATAATAATGAATAGAATATTTAATAATGTGATATATATTTTTCGTTATAAGCAGTATTCCAGAAGAAGAATTTTGTGAAGTTGATCGGCATATAGAAAAAGTTTTTCCAAATGAATGTTCAGAAGTATATTATCGAAAGTTTAAAATTGAAAATGGTATTAGACTACCAGTAGGGGGAAAGATTAAATTCCATTTTGATTACATCAAAGGATAATTAAAAGAAGAAGGCATAATAAGTCCTCCACATAATTTAAAACCTGCTGAAAATCTGAATTGTGCTTACGACGGTAAGAACTTTAATATTTTAAAATTTCATTAAAGAGTAATTAATATTTGTTATAATGTAAAAATAAGTTTACTTTTATCATTTTGAATGATTAAAATTTGTGTTTTTTCTATAGAGTCCATAAAGCTAAAATTAAATTATTTAGAAACATGTTCAAAAGACCAGCTAAAAATTATTGAATATTGGTGTGACACATTTGAAGCAAGACGAAATATATTACAAATTGAAAAAAGAAGTATCCAAGAATATTTCAAAGCATTCAAAGCTTTAAAAGATCAGTTTGAAAGAGAGTTGGTAAGTTTATAAACAAATTTGAACTTAAGAAAAATTAATTCACTAAAAATAAAATTAAAATTTTATTATTTCTAAATTTATTTAATGTTACAGATCGAATTGGATTTTAAAAAACTTCATCCCGGAAAAGATAAAGCTCTAATTGAAAAGTGGCCTTTAATTAAAGATCATATTATCAATCTGTTAAGAGCTTCAAATCTTTCTAAGCACGACAGGCAGTACTTGGATCTCTTACCATCACTTATCTCAGGTATATTTTTTATTAAATGTTGATAATTAAAAATAGTATTTTTAGTATTAAACATTTAAACTGCAAATTATTTTAAAATATTTTGTAACTGCCTTATTTTTTTGTAGACAATCAAACTGCTTTACTTTTTATTTATTGGTCAATTTACTTCCTATCATTGAACCAAAGCCGTCGAAGAAAAGAAAACGCAAATCTAACTCGAGTTACAATGATGACAATTACTGTGAATATCAAAATCAGGAAAGAACAAGCGATGATAATATAAGTAAAGATCAATCACGAAGTGAAGCAAACAGTATAAATTGTGTACGAAGAAAACTGCAAGATAGCGAGAAACGCGAATCATATGTGACTGTCCACGAGAAAACACGGCTTAGCTCCCAAACGTGAATTTCACAGGGCGAGCGATTGAAGTACTACGATTGAAGTTAACTACGCTTGACATACCCATCTTTAAAACGATATATTGTCGAAAATAATTGATATTTTTAACTTTCGATTTTTGCATCTGAAAAAGCAACATAAAATCTGTCGATTACCATAAAAAACTCAAATTGATTTTTTGGACCTAAGCCGTGTTTTGTCGTGGACAGTCGGAAGTTAACTACGCTTGACATACCCAGCTTTAAAACGATATATTGTCGAAAATAATTGATATTTTTAACTTTTGACTTTTGCATTTGAAAAAGCAACATAATATCTGTCGATTACCATAAAAAAATCAAAATTGATTTTTTGGACCTAAGCCTTGTTTTCTCGTGGACAGTCACATATATGATTATTATATCGGTAAGAACACAATTTTATAATAATGAATTTTTTAACGGTATGGTCAGAAAATATTCTTTCTTTTTTGGATTTTTATTTTTCTTAAAAGTTACTAAGTTTGAAAATCCATTTGTAATTTTGTTGAAAGCATATTTTTTTATCTACAAAAAAATTATTTTCTATATTTTTGAAGCATTTTTTTGAAAAAAACATTGTTTTTAGATTGAAAATGCTAAAAAACCATTGTTATTAAATTTTTTATATGGACATTTACTTGTTTATTTTCCTAACTAATTTCAAATTATAGTTTTTTTAAATTTGTAAATAAAAAGTATAAAATTCAAAAAATTAGGATTTTAAATTAATTAGAAAAATAAACAACGCGTATCATCTCTGCATATAAGACGGTATCTACGAGTGCTGTGCAGGTCCTTGCAAGTGTCCCGCCAGCAGATCTTTTGGCAAGGGAAAGGGAAGAAATGTTTCTCTTTTCTAAAGAATGCAGTTCCTTGGATGAGGAATTAAGACCAAGCAAGGGCCTGATCCGCAAAGAAACGAGGAACAGGCAAGAAACAGAAAGATGGCAAGAAAGATGGGATGGTGAGGAAAAAGGTCGATGGACTTATCGCCTTATCCCGGCACTCGCCACCTGGATAAATAGGAAACACGGACAGGTTTCCTATTATATGACACAGGCGCTCACAGGTCACGGGTGTTTTAACTCGTACCTGTGTCGCTTTAAATTACGCGAGGACGAGGTGTGTGCATATTGCCAGTTCCCTGAGGACAACGCGGAGCACACCCTCTTCTCATGCAGAAAATGGGACTTGGAGAGGCGGGCCATGTTCGAAGGTGTAAACAGTCAAGTTACACCGGAGAACATGGTATCGCTGATGACCCAGTCAGAAGAGAATTGGCGGCAAGTCGAGAACTTCATAATCTCGGTTATGTCGAGGAAGGATCTCGACGGCCGCCAAAAAGCGTAATTTAAACAGCTTTTAATTTGTTTTGTTTGTTTTTTATTAATTTATTTTGTGATTTATTTGTCCTTATACATTTTTTAATTTGTTTTGTGTTTTTTATTCGTCTTTGTACAGTTTTGTCTTCTCAACATTATATACGTGTTTACTTTTTTTTTCTTTTCTTTTTTATATCCGTTTGCAATTTTATCTTTTGACTTTTTACACTTTTTAGCATTTGCTTTTTTATTGATGTGCTGTAAATTCCGCTTATACTTTGAAATAGTTTAAATTTTTTTTTAACTATGGACGCAGGATAACCGCAGAGAAAAGCAGAAAGTCGCACTAGCGACAGAGTTGGAGCGCCGCCCTCGAAGGCTAAAGTCTTATGACAGTTCCGAGGGAGGGTAAAGGGCTCCAGAAGAAGGGTTACGGGTTTTAGTGGGTCGGGCTGGTAGTAGGTCGCCAGGATATTAAATTTAATTTTTTATAGATTTATTTTTCTTTTTTTTTATTTTCTTTTGTTTTATCATACCAACCCCACATAACCTTGGAGCGCGGAATCCAAGGTATCTGTAGGCAGATTTCCCAAAAGTCCCTAAGCAAAAAAAAAAAAAAACAAGCGAATTTCCATATAAAGAAAAATTGATTAACAATGACTGTTTTAGCAATTTCAACCTAAAAAGAAAAACAATGTTTTAGGAAAAATGCCTCAAAAATAACAAAAATCCTTTTTTTTTATTCGTCAATTTTTTTCTGAATACAAAAACATGTTTTCTAAAAAGTTATGGATGGATTTTAAAATTTATCAATTTTTAAGAAAAATTAAATTCCAAAAAGGGTCAGAATGTTTTCTGACTATTGATTTTCTCTTTAAAAATTACTATAAAAATAGATTTATGGAAGATTTAAATCATTTTCTTGATATAGTTAAAAATGTAGTCTCAGTCTCTCCTTAAGACAACTTTGATTTAAAATTATTTTATTATTTTAAATGTAGAATTTTTTTACTGTAGCACACATAATTTATCTTTATTTATACTTTTTTGTTACCTATATTTTAACATTTTTTTATTTTTAGGCTGCTCATGAAGAAGATGATGCTGTAGAAAATTTAAGAAAACGAGTTCTAGAAAAGAAATTAACATTACACCCATTTGTTGTCATTGTCGGATCAATAATAAACATACAGCGAACATATGCTGTAATAGACAATATTTGGTTCAAAACGGCGCACAGTGGGAAGAAATGCAGTGTTTTGGACAAAATTCTGCTGACAACGCAAATCTCAACCGATATTAATTTTTTTTATCTTGAAACTTTAAGGAAGGTTTGCGCTATAAGCCTTCACTGCTACAAACTTGAAATTTTTGCAACATAACCTTAAAAAATGAAATTATTCGAAATTAAATGGTTTTTTATTAATTTATCTCAACTGTACATGCCTAGAGGGTGATTTTTGTGTCACTCTTGTGAAATATAATGTCTAATAGTTGAAATCCAAAATGACAAATTCAAGACATTAGCTAAAATTTGAAAAAATATTTTTTTTACTACGAAATAAGTATGTATAAGCGTTTAGAGTCATTAATTACTTAAGAGGTTGTGTAACAAGCATTTAAATTTATATATAGTAAAAATATCGTAACATAACCTAAAAAAATTGTTTTAATCATATTTAAACGTACTTGTTTGAGCTTAGATACTTCTGCAAATGTATATTGATCAAAGTTGTACCACTTTCTTAATGAAATAAAGAAATAAAGTCAACTCTGGCTCCTGTTTTAGTTACCTTTATGTTTTCAGTATAACAACAACTATTATTACATTATGTTTTCGTAATTTTTCATATTTTCGTTTTGTGAGTGCTATATCGACACACATAGCCAAAAATTTGATCTGATATTTAACCGTGGAATTCATAATTAAATCAGAAGATTCAAAGAATATATCGCATGAAATTATTTTAATAATAATGATATAACCAATGAAAAATAATAATCTCAAAAATCAATTAATACTTACTTATTCTGCCACGCAATTAAATTTTTAATATTTCTAAATTATCGCAAATGGCATCTTGACTTTTACAGAAATATTGAAAATAATTGAACATCATTCAAAAATATCTTCCATAGAAACGTTTAAAATAAAAGAACACGATTTGTTGAATGATGTTCAATTATTTTCAATATTTCTGTAAATGTCAAGATGCCATTTGCGATAATTTAGAAAGATTAAAAACTTAATTGCGTGGCAGAATAAGTAAGTATTAATTGTTTCTTGAGATTATTTTCCATTGGTTATATCATTATTATTAAAATAATTTCATGCTATATATCCTTTGAGCCTTATGATTTAATTATGAATTTCACGGTTAAATATCAGATTTTATGTGATATTTTGTGGAACTATAAATTGAATGTTAAAAAAAGTAATATTGATGTTCTAATGGATGGTATTAGAACTTCTGATAATAATCTTTCGGAGCAAGCTTTGTTAGACATAAAACATAAATTACTCTTTAATTTTTTGCCTCAATATAACAAAAAATGGCAAAGTGCTACTCATGCTACATAAATAATATGCAGTTTGAAGTAAGTTTTGAGATAGAATGTACAATGATTGACGGCAAAGTTTGTAACTTTCTAACAAATCAACGAGCTTCCAACTGTTGTAACATTTGTGGAGTAGGACCGAAATTTGTAAATACTTTTACTAACGTTCAAAATCTCACTTTTAAAGAGGAATACTACAAATTTGGACTATCACTTCTTCATTGTTGGATTCGCATCATGGAGTATTTGTTACACATCGCATACAACATGGATTTTAAACAATCTTCAGCGACTACACCTGCAAATAAAATGTTAAAGCAGGAAAGAAAAAAATGCATTCAAAAATTGTTTAAATCTAAATTATCACTCCCAGTAGATGTAGTAAAACAAGGTATGGGAAACTCAAATACTGGCAATGTTGCACGTTGCTTTTTTGCTAATTCTGAAGTTGTTTCTGAAATCACGAAAATTGATAAAAAAACTAATTGAGCAATTTTATAATATTTTACAAGTTTTAACTTACGGAAAAATGGTAAATTGCGATAAATTTCAAAATTATTGTCTGGAGACAGCAAAAATGTGTGTCACTCTCTATGGGTGGTATAAGATTCCACCATCCGTTCACAAAGTCCTCTTTCATGGAAGCGAAATAATTAAACAATTTAATGTACCAATTGGTTGGCTTAGTGAAGAACCTCAAGAGGCTAACAATAAAATTTTTAGAAGAGCTCGAAGCAGCAATAGTCGAATGAGCGATCGAAAGTCAACCAATGAGGACATTATGCATCATCTGCTAATCGGATCAGATCCATTAATTAGCTCCATGAGAATAAAGGAGAAGAAAAATCATAAAAAACTATCTGAACAAGCTCAAGAACTTTTAAGTTAACAGCTAATTTCAAAGCTTCATTGACCTATTTTTTCAAATGTCAATTTCTTATAATAGATTATTCTTCTATGTTTATTAGTTTATTAGTCCGTTATTATCAAATCGTAATTGGTAGATTCATATTAGAAAGCTGTCTTGCATGACTTTAGATAGCTGCAGCATGTTACTTAGTTGTGTACATGGTTCAAGATCTGTATTCTGAACTGTTTTGCCTTATTCTTAATTACAATAACTTGATTCAAAATTTTAAAATTAATTATTCAAAACTTATAGTGTGTGAATAGCATGTGTTTTGAG